TCGTGTTCGGAGGTCCCTGGGAAGCTTTCGGTGTCCACTGCTGTGTTCATCGCCTTGCAATAACCCCCACCCCCTTTTCCTTGTTTCCTCGCCGCGGCCCTGAGCTCCATGCGCTCCAACCACATCGAACAGCAGTCACGAGAATATTCTCAGCACCCCTTCAGAAGTGCCTGTATTTTTTCAGATCAACATTCATTCCACGGCGAGAGGCGAGCGGGGAGGTGCGGCATACGAGAAGAGGGTCAGGTATTGGGGACACTGCTGCACGCACAACGTCTCTCAGGAGGCGCGCGCGAGGGGGCAGGGGTTGTTTTCTTACGGAGGAGGGGGGGGGGGCATACAGGACGCAAACATGGGAGAACGACACCAAGGAGTTTGATCGCTTTTCAGTATTTCCTCCACCATTGTTTTCGTCCAGTACAGCCGCAAGGTGCCACGCATCCATGTGGAAGCGCTGCGATGTCACGCGATGGCACGCGATGTACTGAATTTTAGCATCCTTGGTGCTTGTCTTGGTACATTATGACTGCTGTTCGTTACTTCTTCGTGCATGACATGCAACAGAGAAGAATCACGCACCGAGAAAACGGCGCACCAAGCAGGGAGCACACAGCAGCAGCAGCACAGTAAGCGTACCAGCGAAGTGCAAGTTGGCCCCAAGAACACAGCCCCCCAGCAAAACAGGTCACCGGAGAAAGTCGAGTCCTCCCCCCACAGTGCACGCCAGGCCTCGCTGCCGGCTTCCCCGAGCGCCAGGGACGCAGGGGCAACGCGCAAGACTCTCCGCGCCGTAGTTGAAGCAGTAAAGCGCTAGAAATCCAAGGGCTGCTGTTGGTGTCTGTGAGCAAGGCGCCCGAGGCGGAAACGCTCCAGTACAAACAGGCCCGTGCACCGCTTACGCCACAGGCCTCGAGGTGCGACGAAAACAGGGGTGTTGAGAAGCGAATGAAGCAGTTTTTTGGCTCCGGGGTGCTTGGGGCAAGGCGCTGAAAAAATTGGCGGCAACCCCACCCGGTCGCAGGAGGAGCACACTTTCTTGGTGCTTGGAGAGAGCAAGACCTGCCGAAACAACCCACTGCCTTGCTCCCGCTGCAGCGTACGAATTGACAAGCGGGATGATGCGACAGGCCCCCAACTGGGGGTACCCCGTGTGGTATCGGGCGGAATTTTCCTGACGACGCCAGTGGCTCGGGGTGACGTCAACATGACGGAGCTTGACGGATGTTGAATCTTCTCAGATTTTTTCCCTGCGGAAATATTTTTAGTACTGAAGAAAGATCCAAAAAACAAACTTCGTGCGTTGCGAGATGAAGACCCCTGTAAGGACGAACACCATTTGAAACAACAACTTTCATCAGGACAACGTCACACAATATTTATCCCGTCGAGTATATTTCACAGGCACCAATACTCATAGTGCCCTTGAACACGACGCATTCCACAGAAACAAATAGATCAATTCTCTCACGTTTTGGGGAACACCGAGGTACTACAAACGAGAATGGATTCGGTGTATGGGGTCCAAAAGGTCTCGTTGTAATTAGACTCCCAGTTCATCGAATGGGAGGGGGGCGTCGCATACCAGAGGAGCATAAAACCTGAGGCTGTATCCACCAGCAAGACCCCACCTCCGACAGGGGCGGCAAATCGGCGTCTACCCAGCGCTTCTCGACGCATGCAACGATCCTTGCACCAAACCCATTCGTATGGGGTCTTTCCAGGGAGGCACGAGGAACTGAACGTCGAAGTACCCAGCAGCGGGCTTATGAATATGTCACCGCTTGCTCACGGTAGTTACCTGTTGTGAGTAGGGCATCTAGCTGCTCGTGCCTCTATTTACCTTCATATCTTCCTTGTTCCTGGAGCCAGCGCCGACGAGCAGTTATTCCCATGCCGATGTGGACCGCTTTTATTTTTCTATCTGGACTCGGGCTCGTCAGCCTTATTGATAGAGTGGTGAAATATTTTGGCTGTGGGTGTTCCTCGTTACGGAAGTCTTACAGCGCTTTCGATAGCTCACCGACATATTCATATTATCTCCCTTTTGTGCGAACCATCGTAATCTCTCCTCGTGCCCATCACTGTGTGGATATGGCTCTCGAGCGCCTTCACAGCGGGGTGACCTAAGACAGGTGTGGACGTGCGAACATTCGTCTCGAGCCACCACACCCACGATAATATAGTCGGTACCTGAAGCTGTGCTAAGTGTATTCGTGCCAAAGAAGCATTAATTGGTCATTGGGCAGACGCTAAGACATTATTGATCAGCCGTTGCCTGTATGTATAGCACGGCGGAAAATACCATGCTTCTAGAAAACACGGAGGAGGGTGAAGTTGACTGGGGGTGAACTGAGTCATGTTCACTCTTGACGTGACAGAAAGGTTACCTACAACGTGCGTCCGGTTGGCTTTCAAGCCCACGGGGCTCAGATAAATTCAGGCTCCAACGATCGTGCAGCTGTCACTAGTATTCAGTGCCCGTTTTTCGGTGTGTTGAATACCGTTATCGATCGAGGTTTTCCACCGTCAGGGAGGGGGAGGTTGGTTTCACCCGCCGGGTAGGAATCGAAATAGTGTTGGAGAAAAACGATCGGATCCAGGGGGAAAATCCTATTCCACACCTCCAGCCCGGATAGGTGATGGGGTAGGAGGGAGGGGGGGCTCTTGTCAGGGGTAAAACCTCCGACGACCACGTCATCACCGCTCTATTGGTATGCCCTCACCATAAGTCGTACGCTGATTCACCTTTCTTTATCCATCGTTCAGCTTGTACACTAAAATTCCATACGTTTCCAAGGTAGTATATCGCTGCAAATTTGCAAGTTCTACGCATCATATGCTGCACAGTTGATATTGGTGCTATGAGACGCTCTGTCTGACCCAAGATACTTGTGTAGTCAGCTATGATCAGTCGCGCTGCCCTCGAATGGCTCATCTTGGATTTTGGGCGCGTAAGGGTCCAAAAAAACAAATACAAGAAGACCTAAAATCAACTACTATGGCTATTCATATCCGAATATTTGACAGCAAGAAAGGTTAACTTCGTCCGGCGTGTAGCCAGGAAGCCCCAAGCATTGTAGGTCCACTCGAGTACGGGATCCAACCACAACGCGAGACTCCATCTCCTCGAGGCCACCCCATGAAACATCGGGAATATCCAGCGTGCTCTGCTTATCGCAGAGAGCTTCATAGAAAATCAAGCAGAATAGGAACCGACGTCGGTATCATTACATCCCGGTCCACCATGTAACAATCCAGCTTTTAAACCGCCTGAAGAATATGGACGCATACGATCCTCCAGATAGCATCAAACGGTTTAAAGCTGCTGGGGTGCGCGGTCCTTACGAAGTCTATCAATTCGCTCATCGTCTTCCAGAAATATCAGACAGTTCTCTCCGTCACATGCCGTCGCTGTATTTTGCTCTATAGGCCGAAAACTAAACAACATTGTGGTACTCTTAAGACCCCCGTTCCACGGTTCACTCCCGGGCGAATGGTCGCTTCCCGGCGAATTGTCGCTTTAGGCGTAGACAAAATCGTAACTGCATGTAGCATGTAGACAACGTTTTCATGAAACCAAATACCCGTGGAAACAGAGCCTGAACTAATATTGTTTTCGAAAAAATGTATTATTCGAATGCATGTGCGGGATATTGTCTACCTAGTGTGTGCAAATACTTCATTTCGATAGCACTCGAGTGGGTACATGCGGGTTTGCACCTCCCACTTCACACAATGACTTTCCTGATGCTTGTTCGCCAGGGTACTAAGGGCATCGCCGCCACCTACTGCATGATGAACAACCCGGCCCGCAGCCGCCTTTCACTTTGTTCTCAACGTTTTACGCGCGGTGAGGGGGAGTTCATCTCGAGGTGGGTGTCGGTACGTCGAGCAACGAGCACGATGGGAAAGGATAGACGGTTGTGCTGTCCGTCTGTTCGACTCACGTGGAGTATCGACGGATCATAGGCACGTCGGCTGCAATGCGGTCAGTACTCGCGGGAGGTGAGCTTGGCGTGTGCCGTCTTGTGATTGGTTGTAGTCGTCTGTGAGAGGTTGACTATGAGCACGCCTTAGCGAGCGATTATTGAGTGATTTCCGGGGAAAATTGCTCCAGTTCCGGGAGGAATCTCGTTGGATGAGGACGGGAGTTCGGGGGAGGGATGGATGACAGTTCCGCTCCCCGTGTAACTTCGCAAAAGCTTCACCATCTTCGGTGGACTTCGAACAGTGCGTCTCGAAAAATGGTTTCCTCCGTCTACCCCATCCACGTGCATTCTACAATTCGCCAGTGCTTCCTTCACACCCCAAGTCGCCATACATCGCCTTAACCAAGACCCCTACTACCTGTCCACTCATTGGAGCAACACGTATCCAATGATCGCATGCCTAGCCCAATACATGATATGTAGAATATTGCAACTGACCCCCCCCGGTCGGACGAAAGCGCTCACGGGCATGGAAACATCATACACGACTTCCCTACGCCCATGCCTCCCATTCTCAGGCTACAGCCAAGTTTCGTTGTCCAGGCACATCGCAGACAAGAGGCACCACGGAATTTGCGTAGGATGCAGGAGGGGGGCACCCGGCAGGAATCAGATATTCTTACACAACTTCGCGTGCGATCTGGCCTTTTTCAGTGAATGGAAACAATCCCTTTTCTTCGGCCGACAACAACGATTTCTTTGGCTGAGCGCCTTCATCATCACCGAGCACGCAGAATGAAATTCCCGCAGGAGCTGCCAACTGAGAACGTCGCCATTGTATGCAATAGCAGTTCCCCGAACCGATTCATTTCGATCGCTTCATGACGCCATCGTCGGGAACTGAACAACGAATATGGAAAATCTAATTTCATGATGCACCATCTACGTAAGTGCCATACTCATCCGTTGATGCTGCAAGGCCCTTCGATCTTCCAGAACATCGTAGAGGGCACACAATGGACAACTATATCACCTTTCCCGCTGCAGGTAGGTGAAGTTGTCGTATCACGATTATCGAGTGAATCGGAGATCGGCCTTGCGAACATACCTTGCGCATTGAACGTGGTCACACCAGAATCGAGGGACGAGACGAAGGTGCGGTACACAGCATAACCATAACAGCTTGCGACACTTTTGGAGTACGGCGGCGAGTGAACGAATGGTTCCGTTGTTTGCAACCGACGGTAACTAAAGAATCTAACTGTCGTGGGTACGCAACACGCCCGCTTGCAAGAGACGAGGGTTTCAGTCTGTCGATGATGTTGGACAGCTATTTGATGTCCCGTGGACATTTACGCGTGACGACCAACCTGTCTACGCCAACCATATGTAGCACCCATCACACCAATATATCTTCCATCGGAGTGAAGCGTCTTTCCTGTCTCCTCACCAGTCGAAGCTCCTGCTAATGTCAAGCCTTTGGCCTATCTTTCCGAATGTTCGAGCCCCCGTGCGGGTCTTCTTTGGTACTGGGTTTGAAGACGACTGGGTCACTTTCGAAGCTCCACCGTGAGTGGCAGTCGTATCGGGCCATGCCCGTGATCGAACACGGAACGCCGGTCCCTTCTGCAGCATTTGTTGAACGGCCGCCTCCATGCTCCCGTTCCTCTTGTCATCGGGCAAAAGAGATCCGATGTGGTCGACGGCAAGCTTGCCTTTCAAGTCGCACGTTTCGGTGTCTGCCCCAGCCGAGAGGAGAATACGAAGGGCAGGGATAGAGCAATACTTGGCAGCGTAATGAAGAATAGGAAGCCACTCGAACTTGGTCGCCATGGTAGGGCCGGGAACGCCGCGTAGAAGTGAACCATCGTGAGCGAAATACACATGCTGGTTCGCCCAAACCTCTTGTTTTTCCCCCCCTTCCACATTCAACAGCATCTCCAGAATATCAATGTACCCATACCACACCGAGACGGCCATGGCTCCGGCGATAGCTGGTAATCCGCCGACGGCCTCCAGTCCGTTTTCGAGCAAGAATCGCACGGAGTTTCCCTTGCCGATCCCGATTGCCTCGTGAAGAGCGGACACTCCCTTCGTCGCCCATACTATCCGATCACTTGCCCCTGCAGATAGCAGGAGAGACAGCGTGCTCTCTCGACCTTGTAGCGCAGCTGCTCCAAGAGGTGAATACCCGTGGTTGTCGGCATTGTTCAGTGTTGATGGTGCCTTGGAAAGAAGCAGTTCAACAACCTGGGTCTCACATCGAGCTGCAGCAAAGTGAATGGCAAGGGCACCGAGCTCAATTTCGAGGGCCGGAGCCGCGCCAGCCCTCAGCAATGAGTGCAACATTTCCAACTTCGTTGATGTCCCGGAACTTGACTCACACGCCACCATCATCGGAGAGACGCCGTTGGTATTGGTTGAGTTGGGGTGTGCTCCTAGTTGTAGCAACACCAGCATGCTTCCGCATTGCCAACGGCGGCCGCGATGTGCAACGCTTTGCAGCCGTGGAGCGACGCGGGATTCCCTTTCCACGCTCCACCCATGTTGCTGCAACAAGTAGCCTCGGCATCTGCTCCCCTTGCGATGAGAGCCTTGATGATATCGATGTGGCCGTAACCCGTAGCGACCGCGATGGGGCGGACAAACGCATCTCCGAAATCTCCGAAGTCGTGGGCGCTTGTTCCTTTCCCTAGCATGCGCACAACATCCGCCAGACGTCCTTGTTTGATTGATTGCATTGATCAGTCTCGATGTCCTTGTCCTGCGATCCATTGCGTGGGGAACCAGGCTTGTCTTGTGCATCAGGGACCGACCTTGTTTGGGAGCCTCTTGTTTGCGTCTTGTGTCACAGAGAAGACTGAAGAATTCCACCCCGAGTTGACCGGCTAGCGGCGCAATACGCCGGGGGTCCTCGCTACGATTTCTTCGAAATTAGGTCTTCGAAAAATAACCCAAATTCATCTAATTGCATGAGGGTACAGTTCGTCGATACGAATGATAGTCAATGTGACATTTGATCTTCTCTCTCGCTTTGCGTCACATAGATATACGGTACACGCTCTCTGGGTAGTTGACCAATGGCGATCACAACAGGCGTTCGCAGCAGTTGGGTCGCTGTGGAAGATAGAAGGTGCTGAGAGACCATTGTGATTGTTTTTCGTGGAAATCGCTACGTAACTCGGGTTAGTTCTGCGGTGAAGTTCCAATCAGCTCATGGGCTGCCCACAAAATCGGAGCGAAACTCGGCTCACGATGAGCAGCCTAGTGGCGTGCCCGTGGTCCTTTCCCCACGGGGCAGCTCATGGGCCAATACCCATCGGCTGAATATCGACATGTATTTGTTGTTTCATGGGCACAACCCATGGGTTGCACAGGGCGCTCGGAAAATATTCGAAGTGCGGGAGCAATTTTTTCTACGGAATGTATATTTGTGAATCTGTGTCAACCACCGCCTCACAGACGTGTATCAGAACACAACGTATTTCTGTAGCCGTGCTTACCACATGTTACACAAGATAACACACCTACATAAGAAAGCACACACCGCACAGAATACGACACCCCGGTGATAGTTTTGGGCGCTTCTGACAAACCATCGATTTATCACCGGGGGTACGTAAGATAACACACCCCGGTGATATTTTTAGTGACGCCGCATATAGTCGCGGGGCCCCTCCTTCTATATCACCGGGGTGACAGCATCTGCCCTGGGCAATCACACACACAACCACGTCAGCTGTGTGCGGGGAAACACCCCGCATGGAGACCCCCAACAACATGAACGTGCAGGCAGAGCAGAATGCAGCCGCAAGTACCTCCGCTCCTTCGACAACTGCTTCGACCGCAGCAGCGCAGGCGCCACAGCAGATCACCTCCTTCTTTGGGGCCGCGCACACCTCTATGCAAGAGGCTCCTACTCCTGGTCCTGCTGATCTAACAGCACCAGGAGCTGGAGCAGCAACAGGCGCCAACATGACAGCCTCCGCATCGCCTCAGCAGCAGCCAGTTGCTCTCTTGCTCTCAACAGTTGCTATCACACACCCTTGTTTATCACACCCCAAAGCACACGATGTGGCTGTTCGGACGGTGTTTTCTTGTGTCATATACGGTACACGTTTGTTCCTCGACTCCTGACGACTCTCAACATGCAGCACTCCCGTTCGTTTTCGGGCGGCTTCCCAGACAGGGAGGCCCTCAGGAACTTGAGGCGCTTCGGCTGCACGTGCGCCATGCACCATGCGTGATGTGCCACCGGTGGGCTTCTCCCAACTATCGTGGGGGGTGCACACAGCAGCACTTCCGCACTCGTCACAATTGACAAACACTCGACGAAACCACCGACCACTCGACCGATCTTCACTTGACCGTGAAATATTCTTTGGGGGTGGAGATTCCGAGCCCGCGTCGCCGATTAGAAATCAAACTCAAGGTGGGGTGGCCTGGAAAACACAGGAGGCTACACACCAAGCTCGTCCATATCATAGCAAGTTCGTCATACCAATCACCTTTGCGGCGCTCCTACCTGCGAGCATAAACATCCTTGGCGCCGCACAGCACTACTTGACGGTGTTGCACCGATTTCCGGTTTCGTACATGCGCAGCACAGCTCATTTTGCGAAACCATTATCGCTTCAAAAACTATCTGAAACTACAGTAGGAGGGCCTATTCAATCTTTGGAATAAAATTAAACGATGTGCCCAGCTGCTTCAGTGGCATGGCGCCTATTGTAGTGGACGAAGGACCCCCATTGGCCCATTGCCCAGCAAATGAGCCACTCACAGCGGTTGTTCTGACCATGCGCTTCACACACAAACTACAGATTGGCAACGCCAGTGCTCTGCAGCAGCTGTTTCACATCCGAGCATCCCAAAACGGAGCGTATCCAGAATACGATGAACCCTCTGGCGATTTTACTCACAAGCAACGTATGCAGTGTTCGAATTTCACGGCCAGCATACGCTACAACCAGAACCTTCGCTGCCTTGAGTTTCATGCAGGAGGTGCGTTCAATATTGAGCTACTCCAGAGTCGTCGGGGTTTTCTCGGTCATTCACGATCCTGCGATGGCATAGCAGAGGAGGGAGGGAGGCGAGAACAATAGAGGAAGACGACGTTGTTCATTGGGTGCTATCTCGCGACGGTTGAGCTAATACTCACTGTTCGCTGAGAGAAAGACCAGTGATCGGCTTAACCTCGCCAGACTACCAGTGTGGTCTGTTAGGCGTACGTTTCACTACAGATAGGGGCTACCGCGCTACAAGGGAGTGATTCGAGTGCCAGTCTTGGCGTATCCAGGGCCAGCACACATCAGCAAAGCCACGGCGACAGGTTTGGAGGCAATACCGAAGCGGTCGCGCCTTTCCTCAGCGGCTATAGTAGCTCGAATGAGTTGCAGTTTTTCACCGTGAGGCACTGCAAGAAGTGATACATATTCCTCTCCATGGGTTTGCTAGGTTGGAAGATTGTGTTTATGCACATGGCTGCATAAGAGATTTCAAAATGAAACTGTCACAAATTTCCCCACACAGCACAACGATGAGGATTGCTACCTTCAACCTTTGCTCTCGTTTCGCGATTCTACTCTCGTTATTCTACAACGCACCTCTCTCCCGAAGCCAAGCGGATGCAGTGAGAACCCCTCTTGTCCAACCGGAATCCCCTGATGCGAATCGCCTCTGGCGCTTCCCCTTCATCACCGGCTATTTCCGCCTCCGACAACGGAATCGGTACCCACCCGTCGTTCTTCACGGTAAGTCTCTGGATTACCAATGACGCTCCCGCTTGAACCTAGCAGTACATCAGGTGCTTTAGATGGTTGTGAAACACTCTCCGCACCATTTTTATCGCATTTTCTTCGTCGTTTGTTGGACAACGTGAACGCGGAACGTGCACATGCTCAACACACCATCAAAGTTAGGCATGTTAAGCTACGCCTCTATTGAAAGAGCGTGGTGGAGCACCCGCCCCCCAGGGCGTTGTCACCCCAACAACTATTGGCCAACTCTTCACGTCACGGCCCAGCTTTCATTGCGTAGTGTGAGCAGAAACAACTGCGACGTTTCATGTGCAAATCATTCCGGGATACGTCGGACACGCAGCAGAACGGAGACCTCGAAGCTCAAACGACTAAGGGGCATCATCGACAGAGCCGAAATCTCCATCCCCAGCAATGCAGAAAATGAAACAACAGTTGTCGCACCTCGATTTCAAGGGCTCCGTCAAGGACAAGCTCCTCTATGACGACTTCGCCACCGCCAGTCACCAGGAGGGTCGACGTAGCGGATACCGACACTGCCGACGGTTTGGAAAACCTCCCCTGAAGCTCTGTGTAGAAAACCGCGAAGGCCGGGCTGAAAACTATCTGCGGACCCAGAACCGCCTTGACGCCGGCCCAGTCCTGAGGAAATGAAGGATAACAATGCCCATGTACCACATGAAAGCTGCATATGTGCATCGCATATCACGAGAGCAGTGCGACTGGGCAGAGTCAACACATGCTGTTCCATCACCGGCAAAGGGACGGCAGTGATGGCGGGTTATGGCGTGTTCCTGGTCCAATGACACATCGAAGACTTGTGACGAGCATCTCGGCAGAGCAAATACGACTTCGCTCTCACCTGCTCTGCCCCATGATACACCTTGCAGCCCGTCCTTCGCATCATCTCTGCCCACACCCAGTACTGGTCAGACTCCGCCGACACCGCCGCAGCCGGAGGCGTTCCACTCACCTTCGGGATACGAAAAAGTCGCAGTGGTGGAGGGTGGTACTGGCGCATTAGCAAGGAGTGGGGCTCCCGGTATGATTGTCAACACAAACCACAGCGAGTGTGGATCGAGGCAGGGTCCTGTTCCAACGTCTGAGGGGGTGGTGGGCGTTGTCCACACCAACGACCTGCTGCACCTGCGTGGAGGCCTACTTACTTCGCAATGAACAAGCAATGAATACTTCGCACCGGTTTAGAGAAAAACAACGTGATTCACTCTGTTTGCTAGCCTACAAGGCAAGGTCCCCCGCTGTCCTCTTTTGGCGATTGAAGAAGCTGTAACGACAAACAGGTGAGGGTGTAGTCATGACTACGCTTGTTTGCGAGAAGCATCATATGGAACCCAGCGAGAGCTAGAAAGTAAACGTTATGGCAGCCGGATTATGTGTCAGAACCCCAACCCCACCAGAACAATCGCTGCGACGGCATCCTGAATATCTTGTCGGCATTTTCCATACCACAATGGAGGAGATGCATCGTCTACCTGAACCAATTTCACCGACGAACACGAGAGTGCGCGCGGCGGATCATCCTGAACTTGAGTGATATTCGTCAGAGATTTCCCGTTGAACAAATGAAACCTCGATTTGAGTTTAGATCCAATTCGATTCGTGCATAGTGGGATAAAACTCGAATGGGATTTGTCCTGAACATGACCCATACCTGAGCCTTTGCAGCGTCGGCGATGTTGTTCTTGCAGGGTGAGAAGCACAACCAAGGGTCAACGCTGGTGAACCCCACCTTGGCGCTTGATCCCAACGACTTGGGGTAATCCTGGTACAGTCACCGACGCGAAACGGAGAGAAAAAGTGTGTATGGCTGATGGGATGCCTCATGAAGCTTGCTGCGCAACCGAAGAAATGTTATACGTCGTACACCCAGTCATCATTCTTCGCGGTGGGAAAATAATCAGCAGTTTCTCACTGCATATAGGCTACGGTAGTACGCACGTAGGATGCGCAGAGCAGTACCGCCACCCACAGAACCAGACCTACGTCACATGATGGGAGCGACAAAGCGATCAGGCGAGATGCAAGCAGCAAAGGTCAATTTCCACCAGGCGACAAGATCTAAATTCATTTTGGTCACCCCCTCAACCAACCTCACAACACACACGCACATACCTTTCCATCCGTCCGATACATGACCACCTATACTCAAGAAATATCTACGTTCTGGGTCGCCATTCTTCGGTCCTGACAAGACCTGTGTCACTTTTGTGTACCGAAAATCGGATGGCATTTCAGAATTAATCGAAAGTCGCCCAGCCCCTATGATTGTTTTCGGTATTTTGCGTGGCTCCGTACGTTTTCGTAGACTCTCAAGCCATAGATCGACTCACAAATGGTCATCCAACGTCTTTCTCAAGCTGAACCGCAAATCCAGGGCTGGTCAGGGAGGAAGTGAAGTTGTATTGTGCGACGACACACCGCTAGCCAGGTGCGGCCTTTCCACGTTTTATCTTGTTGTATACCAACAACACCTTGGCCGCCGCCATGTTCAACAAGTATCTTCCCAGCCCATTTCGCTTTTATCATTCCGACTGCGTACCAACCATCGCGGCATTGCAGTAGCACACGTTGGCCTGTCCACGAAACGTCGAAGGCACGCGCCAGATGAAAAATCTTGTACCCAGGTCTATCCGTCTTGCAGCGGTGGAGAATAGACGCAGCACCCGTCTCTCTCGGCGAACGCTTGACGCCGTGATAGTCTCCCACTTCGGGAGCGCGCTGTTTGCAACCAATCCGTTCCCGTCAATAACTCCAGCGTACGCTCCAGTTAGTTCCGTTGTGCCGTCTCGTTGATTTCAGCTCCAAGAGCAATCCTACGCACCACCTAACCGCCATCGCTGCCGTCGTCGGTGTTGATACATGCCACGGTCTTAACAAGTGAATACCGCTGAAAGGTGGTGCGATGTCGATTCACCACTTCATCATGGCGTCCGATAAATGACCATCGGTATAGCGACCACCAGACAGCTGTACCAAAGCTGCGCGCGCCACCACAGAAGCCTATTCGTTTAGCCAGTGTCCTGCATTCCCTGCAAGGGAACGTGCTCCTCGGATCCTCATTGGCGTCTGCATGCGTCGCTCAACAGAGGGTCGCAGCTGTCCGCTGGGAGATGCAACTCCAAATCTCCAAATACCGGCACCGTTCGCCGACATTTTCACCGACATATCAGCACACTGGAGCTTGGGAGTAGTCACATCCCCACCTCGTCGGCTGTCCTCGGCAGGCAACATGCCCGGAACTAAAGTTCCGGTGCTTCCGGTCGATGGTATTCCTATAGAACCCTATGAACACATACGCCGTCAACCGTATCGTTGACGACGAGCCTGGAGGACAGGCATAAAAACGGGACACCCGCACTGATGCCACGTATGGCTCGTTATCTCCACAGTGAAAGAGAGCTTGCTGCGAAGAAGGTAAGCATCAGCCACCTAACCCGAAGACGCTCAAGTTTCACCTCAAGATCAGCAACGCATCCGAACCTCATGAGGCAGCGTGTCTCCTTCCTCGCTATCTTTCCGTCGTTCTCTGGACGGGGGGTTGACTTGCGTGCTGCATTCGTCGACACGTGTGAACCTTGTTGGAGCATGTTCGAGGAGTATTCCGTGATGACATCCGCATTCATTTGATCAGAAATATGTCCATGACGACACGGTCTGCCACTGGTCCACACACACAGCTTTGAAGACGCGGAGCATGAGCCATCTCATGTCGGAAGGAGTTAACCCAACGCCACCGTCGAAACGTCCTACCAGGGGAAATTTCTCACCCGAAGCGGAGCGTTTTCTCCGTTGTCAAAGAGCATCCTCAACTTGACCATCTGGAGTACCTCTCTCTGCTCCGCCTCATCCCGTTCACTACCTTCGCGATTGTAGCCGGCCACTTCCTCCGCTGAATGACTTACGGGTGAACGACGAAGCATGATGTGTAGTCCTCATCCGGCGTCAGCATCTCCCTCGGCATGGGGTGACTGAAATGCTGTGGCCCCTGCTGAGAAACTCCCGCCGCTTACATTCTCTTTTCAGCCCCCACGTTCTCCAATCACCAACAGAATCCCTCTCCGCAAATTCGGTTGGGTTCATTACAACCAGTCGTGTCAACATGGTCCCTGTTACATGCCTCAACCATCTTGGCCTAGTGCTTGTGAGCAACCCCGCAGCGCTCTCTGAAGTCCTGGCCTTTGACAGCGGTGCCAAAGCATGTACATTCTCCAATCACCAGCAGCATCCCTCTTTGCAAGTACTGTTGGGCTCTTCCACTGCCAGTCTTGCCATATGATTCTGATTAAGTGCCTCGACTATCTTGGCCAAGTTCGTGAATATGCTCTGCAGCGCTCTCGGAGTCCTCAGATTTGACCGCCGTGCCAAATAATGCAGAATACCTTTCTCTGAGGGCTCTCCTCCCGCCTCATGCCATTACTACGCGATCATAGCCGGCCACGTCTTCCGCTGAGTCGCCAAAAAGTGAACAATGAAGAAAGGTGCCTACTGTAGTCCTCGTCCGGCGTCAGCATCTTCCCCAAGGTGGGGTGACGGACATGATGTGACCCCGTCGGAGAAACCCTCGCCGCTAACGTTCTACTTTCAGGCCCCACGTGCTCCAGTCACCAGCAGCGTCCCCCTGCACAGTTTGGTCAAGTTCTTGCCCAGCCAGTCCCCATAGAGGATTCTTGTTACGTGCCTCCAAACCTTTGTCTAGTTGTCTTGAGCATACCCTACTGCCGTGCGCTCCGGAGTCATGGCATTAGACCGTGGTGCCAACACATGTAGAAGGTATTCATTTCCTACCCTCATTGTCATTCAGCGCAGGAATTCCCTCTTGATGTCTCCTTCGCGCCCAAAATTACCCGCTGATGTTTCCCTCCTTCGGCCACGCCTTGTCTCATGGGTCGGATGGAGCGAAAGCTTGTGCGTCGCTCCTATTCCACTGCTTCGTCCGCGTCTGTCGACATATCTTTCTCCGCAGCCACGTCGAAATCCACTGCGTCTTTGACACGAGCGGTTTGCCGTGATTGTCGTCCTCGACACTGAATTCCTTCCGTTCCGCCCCCCCCCCCCCCCAAAAAATCTCCCACTTCCCACCAAACTGAAGGGAATCCCCCCCAACTGGCCCCAAGTGTGGCCCCTCTCACGTTTCCCGCTTTTTTAACGAAAATTTCAAAAGCATCCTCTTCCCCTCACCCCTGAAGCTACCCCTGCCCCCCGCTCTCAAGGGGTCCCAACCCCCAAATTTTAAACCACAGGCCCTCCAAACTTTATAAAAAATTCTTTTGAAGGGGGCCATTACCCCCCCATAACCCCCTTGGTGTGGAGTCATGTTTGACCCAAACTGAACAAAAAAGCCCAAACACTCA